GAATTTTTGCCAACAAAGGACCCAGAATTGGAGAGGGAATGCTATGAAACGGCGCTTTTGGCAGCGCTCTACAACGACGTGGGTCTTTTTAAGCGTCTCATCTTGGACTGGTCTCCAAGCCTATACCGAGCTGGGTATATCACTGGAATTACCCTGAAGCGTATCCAAGAGATAGCTTCATCTCAATCTGAACCAAATAGTCCACTTCAAAATGATGAAATTTCTCTCTACCAAGCGCTGGCACATCTTTATCTACATGAAAGAAACTACAGCTCTGCCTTGAAGATCTACTTCACCTTGAAAGACCCTCGAATATTTTCGGTAATCGACAATTACCAACTTTTCGACCAGGTTAACAATTATTTACCGGAGCTTCTGAGTATCAACGAAGATCAAGCTGTACGACTGTTTCTAGGAAACGAAGATAAATTTTCTCCTTCTTTGGTCGTAGCTGCCACAGCTCATCAATCAAAACTTCAACTGGCTTACCTAAGCCAGCTTTTGAACAAAAATGAAGCTGCTGAATATGCTGACCTGGCCATTCGCCTATTTGCAGATCACGACAAGGAAAAGCTACTACCCTTTTTGAGAAAAAATGAAAATTATAAGATTCATAAAGCTCTGGACATCTGCCAGCAGAAAAACTACGTGGAAGAGACGATTTTCTTATTAGGCAAAAGTGGAAAATACGCCGAAGCTTTGGACCTGCTGATGAAGAGCTATGATCGACTAGAAAAAGCGTTGGAATTCTGCCAAGAGCAAGACGATGCTGATTTATGGACCAGACTGATTGATGAAGTTGTTAAAACACCCGATCGTGTAAATTACCTACTCAATAATGCTGGAAGCGGTCTAGACCCCCTTCAAATTATTGCGAAAATTCCGCCGACCATGCCCGTGCCAGGGTTACGAGATGCCCTGATAAAAGTTCTGCGCGACTATGCGGTTAAATTTACTCTGCAGAAGAACTGCCGAGAAGCAACCCGTGCAGACGTTCGTGAGCTTCTTACGCTGTATTTAGAAAACCAAGCATTATCCGCTTATGGACAGCAAGTCCCGAATCCGCAACGAGCTGAACTTCTTATGTAAATTTATGTGTATACCAGAACATCTCACATATCTTATATCGTTACCGTAAACGGCAATAAAATGTTTTTGAAAACCCATGTTTTCTCTATGCAGTTGATACATTTGTTTGAACCAGATATGGACCAAGTATTTGATGTGTAGATAAGATGTGAAGTTTTTCCTGCTAATTACTTGTTCAATCATATTTCATTTACAAGCAAATCACAGATATACATTACAAAAGCTTGACTGAGACGCATGAGATTCGGTCATGAATATCCCATCATAACAGCTTTGCCTTAGCAAGTTGCTTCCCAGCATAAGGAGCAAAAATAAAAACAAAACGGATAAACCTGTACAGTAAAAAGAGGGGGAGTGGAGGGAGGAGGAGCGCGAAAGAAAGAAAATTCTGGGCTCTACTACTTTTGAGTTCGTAAATATCGATCACCTGTTGCAGAAAACTTGTCAGGA